TGTGTGTGTGTGTGTGTGTGAAAGCATTTTTCTTTTCCTTGAAAAGCTCGCCATATTACATCCCAGAATTAGCAAGAAAATGGCTATAAAGTGAAATTTATGTCATGATTGTGATATTTTACCAGTCAGTAGGCCAAAACATTCCCTTTTCTTATCAACGTTGATCTTGTCCTCTTTATCGTGAAGAAACGAATTATAGTGCTATTCTCTTCTTTCGACCAGTTTTATAATTCAGTGGTAGCTATCTATCTTGTGATGTAGCAAACTGTCTGCATTCATTTAGTTTCTTTTAAAGATGCAAGACGCACCAATTGGGCAATTCCCCGTGTTACTAAATTTGTTGTAGTTTCAAAATTGCTAAATAGTTATAGTAAATAATTATACAAATCTGCACACTCTCCTGCTATTTCTTTGACCACATAGTAATGATTATTGAGAATGTCAAACTGAGATCAGGTTTCTTTTCTATCAAAACCAAGGCACCCACGAAACAAAACACTGAGTAGGTATATAATAATATATTGTGTGTATGTGTGTGTTTGTGTATGTGTGTGTGCGTATGTGTGTGTGTGTGTGTGTGTGTGTGTGTGTGTGAGAGAGAGAGAGAGAGAGAGAGAGAGAGAGAGAGAGAGAGAAAGAGAGAGAGAGAGAGAAAGAGAGAAAGAGAGAGAATATATTAAAAATCTGGTCATTAATTGTTGACTATCCCTTTGACCTTACTTTTCACTGGAGAGCAGCACTTCTGATCAGCGCGAAGGCATCCGTAGAAGTTGCTGTATCTGTTGTTCACATCAGTGCCGTAAGGGCATCGGTTCTTGATGTAAACACATCTCCCTCCATTCTGGACGCAAAGTCCAGCTGAGGAAACGCAACAGAAATGTTTATAGGAATTTTAAAATCCTGGAATTTGTTCAAAAAAATACACGAAAATGTGAGTGAATGATTTCCAATAAATGTATTAATTTATAGATTAGAAAACGAATGAATGGGGGGGAAAAATTAGTGAACGAATCAATCAAATAATTGATAGATCAAACAACCGACCAATTAATCATTCAATCAATCAAGCAATCATGTAAATGTAAAGAACAATGGTCTTCTTTACCATCCTACCCCCGCCCTCCTCCAATTTTCATTTTTTCCCGTGTATGTTGTATGTATTATCACCTTTGGGACAGTATCCCCTGTCGAAACAAGCCGTAATTTTGTGACAGCAAAACACTGCGCGTTCAAGTATGCGAATGTTCAATCGTTGATCGTAATAGTCTTATGTCTTATGGTCAGAGTTCCCTCATAAAATTGCAACCGCCCGTACGGCAAACAGATGGGTGACACATTGCTGCTTCCAGGTCTGGTTTTTTTGGTTGTTTTTTTGGTTAGCTGTACATGAAAGCTTTTCCACTGAAAGAATTGAACCGAAAATATTGAAAAGAAGAACGCGAGGGGGGAAGACAAAAATTAATACAGTCCCTAGATCTACGTGGAGAGTTTTTTTGTCGTTGGTTGTTTTGGGTAAGTTTTTTTTAAAAATTGAGTATCCCCGTCTGTCAACTGGAACATTGTACAAGTATTCCTATCAGCCTGGGGTGGCCTTGACAAAGCAGGGTCGAAGCAGCCTGCTTTCTACATGATCTAAACAGTGCCGAAGGGGTATAAATATCTACTATTACAAAAAGAATGGAGACGCCGTGGTGTACTATTTTGTTAGTTTAATAGGTGTGTTGGTTAGTGCTCTACCGACCCGTGTATTAGCTTTCATTTATTGCTGAGGCCACTGGAATCAGTTGTTAACCTGTTTGGGTGGGTTGAATCTAGAGACCACCTATTTAAAATGAAAAGGTGATCCGGAAGACAAAGCCATAGAAAGCTTAACAGAACTTGGGCTTGGGGTAGCTTGTTCTAATCCAGACACACATGTTAGGTTCATGACTGACCGAGCCACTGCAGCCGTCACAGAAATCATATCAGGCTGATTTGTTAATGTATCTGTTTTCACACCATGTTTCTAATCGATAACAGAAGTTTGCAAATAGTTTTCTCGAGTTTCCTTTGCCTGTTGAGATCATGGTATAGATTACTAAAGAGCAGAGAGCTCATTATGGAAGCGGGCTTCCTCTCCTACCTGTCAAGGCCAGCCCGGACTGAGAGGGATACAACATCCAAGCTGAAAGGCTAACATACTTGATAAAAGTCACCCCAATCGGGAATCGAACTCAGGTCTCCTGCGTTCGACAGCGAATCGCCCATCCGCTACAACACTAACACCGGTTAATAAAGAGAGATAGGACTAAAAAATGTAATGGCTAACCCTTTTTTTAGACGTACACTTACCCCCCCCCCCCACCCCGGCCCCCACAAAAAAAACCAACAACTAAACACAAGAAAACGAGACAAACTTGATAGTTACTTGCTGACGGGATAGACAGATTCTGGAGACTTAACTCTTAAAGAACGTAGCGGACACATACTTGTAATGACCAATCTACAGCAGATCAAAGTGCGGAACATTAAAATTTGATATGCACAGACCAGAAACACGAATCTGACTATCTATTCATAGAATACATGTTGTTCCCCTCCCTTTTACAGTTTGAGATTTGGGTAAATGAACTGAACAGTTTGTTGAATTCACGAAATAATGCTTCTTTTTTTAAAGCGCCCCAAAACAGTGTATACCAGCTTCGTTAATTTAATGAACAACGTGAATGTTCTCAATGAGTGTATAAATTAAAAGTGTCTCATACTTGAATAGAATTGTACGTGGTTTAATCCAAGGTAGATAAAATACCCCTCCTGTGTGCTTAAAAGAGAGTAAACAAAAAACATGGGTAAATAAAACACTGAGCTAAGAGGGGAGGGACGGAAGGGAAAAAGACTGAGTTGATAAAGGAGTGAATGGTAATGTGTGTACGTGTGTGTGTGTGTGTGTGTGTGT